TGTGAAATATGAGCTGAAGATAAACCAAGCGTCTTTGGCGCAAAAACGATGAAATTCAAAATTTCGGAAATAGATTACAAAACTAGGACCTTTTCCAAGTGAGTTCCGAACATCCGACGTCGTCAACAGGAAAGGACGTGTATAACCCTCTCGGAAGGTCCTATGTAGCCGGGTTGCCTATCTATTCACACACAATTAGGATGAGGATGCTCATAAGGCACCAACTTCTCAGATGCGAACGCTGTGAGCTTGTCGAACAAAAAGAATGAGATGTGCGAGCTAACCAACGCTAACAATTCTCACGTGGTACGGAAGAACTGGAATACGAGCACCTACCTCAAAAACGGACAAGGTGGAAATAACACATATAAGCGAACAATATTGTTTTCGATTAGATCGTCATCAGGCTTTACTCTAATATACATGAATATTTATATGAAAATGTTTAACCAATCAAGGCAGTGTATGAGTCAATAATCACAATGAAATGAAATAGATCACGTCCTTAAGGCAATCTTCGGGCAAGCAAATGTTGATTTGTTTTTCTTTAATTTGCTCGCATGTGAAATCAATAGTCTCGAGGAGTGGTACGTTAGTGAACAACGAAGCCACATTCAGTGAGATCATAATCAGTTGTGCAAAGAAGTGTAAAAGATGTTTTTGAGTTCACTTCCAAAGTGGAAAGTATGAATGTTAGCAAGAGATTTATGATCTCACTGAATGTGGTTTCGTTGTTCACTAACGTACCACTCCTCGAGACTATTGATTTCATATGCGAGCAAATTAAAGAAAAACAAATCAACATTGGCTTGCCCGAAGATTGCCTTAAGGAATTACTCCTAAGATGCACCATGAATGTCCATTTCGTATTCAACAACAAGTATTATAGGCAGATAGACGGTATAGCCATGGGCTCACCTCTAGGCCCGATTCTAGCTGATCTCTTTCTAGCAAAGCTAGAAAATGGACCACTTAACGAAGTTATTCAAAAACTTGATCTATATTGCCGTTATGTCGATGACACATTCATCATTGTAGATCAGGACACCAGGAAAGGAAAACTCTTAGAACAATTCAACAATGTACACCCGGCAATCACGTTCACTGGTGAAGAAGAATATGATGAAAAACTGTCTTTCCTTGACATCACACTAAGTAGGCGAAAGGATGGTACACTAAGTAGAAGCGTGTATCGAAAAAATCCCAGTGCTTGCCAATACACTCACTTTTGTAGTTTTACACCTATCCGCTACAATAGAAATTTGGTTAGATGTCTCACTTACAGAGCAAATATGATATGTTCAATGGATACTGTAAGTCAGGAGCTGGAATTCATCAACGGCTCACTAACCGAGATTGGTTATCCAAGCGCATTCTTAAAGAAGTATATGTCTGCCGTAAAAAGAAGTCGGTGGTTTCGACTGCCCGAAAGAAGCATTTGTTTATGAAGCTACAATTCAACGGAGATGTGGCCTGCGGTACTCTGCAGGACAGATTAATAAGAGTAATTAACAGAACATTCAACGCTGCAAAACTTGCATTGACTTTCTCCAGTCGACCTGCGATGTCTACTCAAACGAAAGATAAGTTACCTGAGCTGGCCTCCTCTATGTGCATTCACAAATTCAGCTGCTCCTGTGGAGATAGCTATATCGGGCGTACTTCCAGGCAACTTAACCAACGAATGAGTGAACATCTCCCAGCATGGTTTACGAAGGGTCAGTCAAAAACAATACGCAGTTCTATCTTAGCACACCTGGTAGATAGTGGTCACATTGTAGATAAATCTAGATCTTTTCGGGTGATCTATCGTATACCTCCATCATTTTCCAACGGAGTTCGATCCCGTCTCCTACACATTGCAGAAGCCATAGGAATACGTACATTCAACCCTAATTTATGTGTTCAGAAGAAATTCGTGATGCCCCTATCTCTTCCGTGGCCGGATATGACGTAACTAATGATTGATTTTTTATTTCATTTTATTTTTACATATTTGCTTATTGCGTAATGTTTTTGACGTTTTTGATGATTATTTGAATTCTATTCATCCACCCTTGACCTACTTTAGTTATCATATTTTATAAATTTTCTTACTACTATCAGTACACCTGTTTTCCTATTATCCACTTGAACTTTTGCCTATTAGATGTAGTTACGTAATCTTTTTCATTTCATTGTGATTATCACTCATATTGCCTTGATTGGTTTAACATTTTCATATAAATATTCATGTATATTAGAGTAAAGCCTGATGACGATCTAATCGAAAACAATATTGTTCGCTTATATGTGTTGTTCTAATTTTCACAATGGGAATCTTTAAAATTCTTAAATCATGTGAAGGTGGAAATACCCGACAAGTATTTGTAATAGTGTAACAGTATGGTAAGCTGGACAGTCCTGGACCTACGACTCCGTTTGTTAGCACATGAAATGTACATTACGGAGCTTATCAATCTAGATGAATCTTTACTGGGCGTAGTGAAATTGTTCAACGCCACAGGGTCATCTAAAGAAAAGCTGCCGTCAACAGCGAATATGGGAATCTCGCGCTGAAGGGATAATGTCGATCTCTTCGTTTAGGATACTACTCACTTATTTACATTCGCTTGATACCGTTGATGGAGCATTGGCCACCGATTGGCATTGTGGAATCAACTCTGTTCTGAACCTTCCTTTCCTCTCAATCGATATCTATTTTTTCATGTCTGCCCCTGATCCTTGACAAGGTACGTCCTTTGGTCTACCGCGTTTTCTCAGGTTTCGGTGGTTCTGAATTGGCTCTCATGTCGTGGCATGGTTGAGGGATATCTGCACCGCTTGACCTATCCACCTTCAGAGCTTTACCCTAATTACTCCCTCATCTGGAATCTGGTTTGTTCTCTCCTACAGTAGATTGTCGCTGATTGCGTCTCGCTCATGCATATACTCTTATTCTAATTTTAGGATAATTCAGTCTCCCTAAAGTCAACTTTGCTAATTACACTTATGATAGGTGTGAAAGTTCTGTCGAAGTTTGTCACAATGTTTTTGGGGCGAAATATTTTGTTTGCTTCTGGTTTTTTGTGACTCATGGAACCCCCATCCCGTAATGGTGAGGTCGCACTGATATACTTGCTACTCCTCAGACGCATGTTTTAAATTTTTGGCTGCCATCACTATTTTTCCAAGATAGCCTACATGGTGCTCATTCAGACTTGTACAGTAGGACTTAGAAAGTTGGGATTTGATAAAAAAAGTTTGGGCAGTACACGTCACAGTTATCAATGTTTTTCTCAAACTTTACTCTTCTTGTAGAACCTACGACTTTAATGTACTGACGCCTAGCTTCTTACTCCAACATCTTTGCTAATATTCGGACACTATCCAAACTCAACTTGATGTGGACAGTAAGTGAAAGTGCGTACTTCACAGAATCTTAAGAACTATGAGTCAGTCTGTCCCACTGATCCTTCCAAAAAGTCAGAAACAACCTATAGTCAACAGCAGTTACGGAGTTCCAATGCTAGAACATAAACACGACTACGTTTTACCCATACATACCTTTTTCCTCAACAACACGGTTTCAGGAAGAGTGAGTGTTGAATAATCAGTCTGCTAAGTGTAGTGAACAGATAGACAACCATCCTTGATGGCTAGGGGAAGGTTAACATAATATATCTAGGCATCTCAACAGCTTTTATGTCTCTCGATTAGGCCCAAGCTTTTAGGTATCAAAGAACAACCAATAGACTGGTCTGCTTCATGTCTAAACAGTAGGCTTTTTAGTCAGAGTGAATTTTGCCATTTTTCAGGCTAAGGAATGTTTTGATGGTGTATTTTTGGGTTCCGTACAATGAATCCTTTGCTATTTAGCTTGCATAAATGACCCTTCTGAGAGAGTTAGTCTGAGATACTAATTTTTCATGGGCAATGTTATTCTTCGGAGAGAGAAGTTTGCAGTTAAGATTTACAAGCTGGCTCTTCAAGAAGATCCTACCAGACTGAAAAGTTAGGCGAATAACAACAATAACAATAATAAAAATTCAGTGCAAAGTAGTCCATCTGGCACATGGTGCAGACTATGTATGAAATTAAGGCAACTGTCCAAAACAGATGTCGACAGTCAAACAAGGTCTAAGAGTCTTGGCTACCCGTGATCTCAAGTCTTACGATAATTGCAACAGAAGTGCCTTTCAAACAAAGCTGTCACTATTACCGTTCTATTACCTAATATTTTTTTAACTAGCTAGTACAAAATAATTCATTTCTTTGCGCCGGAATTGTGTTTTTCGGCAGGGTTCCAGGAATTCGGTCAGTTAGATAGCGGAACGTTCTAAATATTCTTTAACAGCGATCTCCCCCTTTCTCCAAAGATAGAAGGCTAGTTAGCTAACAGATGAGTTTGAGGACCCGAGTTCAAGCCCTATGAAGAGTCACTGAATCTTTACACGTTTGAGTAAAGGCGTCTCAGAGGTAACCTGACAACTCATAGCGTTCTAACTACTACTGAGTAACGACTTCAGTACTTACTTCAGCTCAATTTAAATGCAACCATAGGGAAAATTAACCGTGAACCACGCGCCTAACGTAACAAAATGGACTGTAGGTAAACCTATAACCTTTTTGAGTAATCGGATTTTGCAATTTGTTACCGGCTAAAGTTAATCATGAGACTTCCCTAGAGTCGTTCAACTGGAAACTTAACAATTTTTTACGAGCTCGGGACAGTATTTCAGTAAAATTTAGTAATATTTTTATTTTACTTGTTATATAAACTTAGGTTTTTACTTCGAGGCATTGATGATACTTTGCTACTGGATACGAAAGTTTATTAAGCAAAAGCTTACTCTATTCCGTTCGAAACTATTTGTACCAAGTACCTAAAAGCTCGAAGTGCTGCTGAAATATAGTGCTAGTTGGTCGCCTGGGGAATATCTGAATTGCTTCATACTTGGTACTCAGTAAAATCTCGTCCAATATCCAATATTCTTTTCACGAGCTAGTGTAAACCAATTGATTTCTTTGCGTTTGATTCATCAGAAGAGGAATCCTTCAGCCTGATACAGACCGGCTACATTCCTAATAATAATATCATTCTTAATGGAAGTGAGAAAATATGGAGCACATAGACAAAAACAATATCCATCATGAAACTCAATATGGGTTTAGGAAAGGCAGGTCATATGCAACCAATCTTCTCATAGCATGGGACAGATAAATACTGTCTAGAATTTGTGTAATTGAGTGGTCAGACTAATATTTATTGAAAATCACCAAATATCTGGAACCGTACAGAAGCAAAAAGAAGTCAACTCAAAGAATACAAGTGGTCAATATTACCACATGAAAAAGATATTGGATATTGCATATCTGCTTTTGCAAGGATAATTTAAATGTAGCGTTGCTACAGCGGTATTGTAATGTGTTTGGAGGCTTACTCCGTCAGCTCCTAGTTAAGATCACTAGATTGTATAAATTCCATGCCTGGTCCCCAAGTTATTCCCGTTTCATTCTTTTTATGAAAGTAAGTGGATTTTGTACGCGTATCAAGTTATCGGTTCATGATTTAGGCATTCCGTATAAATAATAAGGATATTAAGTCAGTCGATCTGTGCTAATCCTTGCAGATCGTTTTCCAGTTAAGAGCCATCTTTTCCTTGCAAGTATTAACTGGTGGGTCTGACACCACTTGTTCGTGTGAAGGACTCGTCATCGACCATTCGACTTGAAAGACGGGATCCCACTTTGAGATTATTTGGTCGCTGTTTTTCAGCCTTCTTATAGTGCCCGCAGAGATGACTGGTTCCAGAAAGAGCAAAAAGATTCAGCATCCACATCGCCATTCAAGATACGGAATGCCAAAATAAGGCGACCCCGCGTTCTTCAGTAAAATAAGGAGAAAATGCCCAGGCGTTTTAAGCGCTCATCTTAGGGAAGTTTGGGAAGACCCGTCACTAACTTAAATCCCACATGCCGAATATGCTCAAGTGCCTCCTCAGTCAGACATGGTTCAGCCTTTTGGTTGCGGTACTGTAGATGGTGTATGTAACCGGAAACGAATCCTCATCAAACCGTTTAGATGCTTGGCAAAGTGACTATAACACTAGGAAACCGCTGAAATACAGTGCAGTTGCTTTCAAGTCATGACTTCCCCTTACTCCCAAGTCATTTTGTCCTTGGTAGGGATGTATTATTGACAATACATTGATAACTAATGCCGTGTCTGATGCGCATTAGCACACTGGAATTAATTTTTAAGCCACAATTAAGTCCGTCTAACTAATTCGTCCAAATTAGCTTGAACATCGAGATGATCAGCCCTACTATTTATTGCTCTTCAAATTGTGACATTGTCTGTATGTTAACAACACTGTCGACATATTATGCAGTCTCGGTATTTTATTGACTTAGGAAGAAAACAATAGGGGATCCAAGATATTGCTTTGTGTTACACTAATTGTGACTGGTTTCCATTCGGTGTCTCGTTTACTCTCAACCTCTGTCCTTGATCATGGGAGTTTTTTATTCACTCGTTTATTGCACCTGTTATTTCAGAGCTCGAGAGTTTCTGCAAGATCCTAAGTGAGAATTCTTATCAAATAACTTTCCTAAATCCGTGAATATTACGTCCACAGATAACCCGTTGTCTTGAGCTGCTGTCCTATCATCCTCTTGCAATTAATGAGTTAGGCAGGATTATTCCGAAACCCAGATAAAATTTTCATCGTTCCAGGTAGTCCTGAGGTAACTGTCCTAAGCGACAGGAAATGTATGGCAGTGCAAACTAAGGAAGCAATAGAAACACTACGTCAGTAGACTACATTTTCGATTGGGGAATCATTAGTGCGTTCTTAATGTGAGTCATAGAATACTCCAGTCAGTCACCTACAGCGTAGAACTTCGTACGTACGTACACCATTTCCGGTTGCCATGCCACATTAGCAGAGGCACAACTGTCAATTGAAACCCCATTGTAGTAGAAATATTAGCGGTAGTGATGTTATTCGAAAATACTATTCAAGAAGTCTAATCCAGTGAAATAACTAAGTTGAGGAGTCTCGGTTTCTTTAATAAAATAGGCCAGTATGATCTCTCTAGATTCCGGTTCCTCATCGTTTAACTTGTGCTAGCATATCCGCTTCATATTTAAAACAAGGAGTCGCTGCTCTGAACGCGATCTGAAAAACGTCGGCTATGGTACTCCAAACATTTTATCCAAGTAGTGAAATTACTTACAACTACCCTATAAGACCACGAACCTTTGGCCAGAAGTATCTCTACAGGTATTCGTAGTTCTAAGGTCGTTGATTACAGACTCCGAGAACTTTATAATCTGCTACTTCAGGTAACTATTTCACTTATTATCTAGTTACTTGAATTGTCGCAGTTATTTATATACGTTACTACGCTTTGGCTAGGATTAACTTGTACATCCATTCGACCATCAAGTTGTACTATTATCCGATCCGACATAGTGTACGAAACTCCAAATCTTGATGTGATCAGCAAGGAGTGGGACAGATGACTTCAGTACATTAAATCATTTAGATAAGTCAGTCAGGTGCATCATAGAACTTCGTACGTAGGTATATCAGTTCATGCTGCCATACCACATTAGCACAGAGAAGCAACTGTCAATTCAAATCCCATAGTGATAGAGATAGTAGGAGTACTACTGGTAGTAGAGAGGATTAGGGATCCAAGATATTATTCAAGAAGTATAATTCAGTGAGATAGGTTTAGAAAGACAAAAGTAGAGGTGTTGAAGAATCCAGAAGATTAAGATTCGAGAGAACACAAAGGGTGGATGCACCTGCGCCATTGCAAACGATTCTGAGCCATGTCGTCCAAGGACTCTAACTATCGGTGACTTTCTTCCCGCAGACCCCAACCAGGGAGCGCACATCTACCAACATGACGCAGTTCACTTTACAGTGACTTTATGGATTTGTGCCACGTTTTGGTCTGGTCGCCCCTAGCTTTCGTCCAACTTATTCCTACTTCGCAAAACAGAGATCGACGAGGCGGTCGGTGATTAGGCATACATAACACCAACCACCTCGTCTATTGATCTGTCATCCTTGCCTAGTCCCACGATACACGAGTAATGGTTCTAAGACATCTGTAATCGGAAAAAAGCAACCTACGAATATCTACTACTCTTACCGGCCATGTTTCGAATCCATATAGGAGAACGGAGCGAACTGCTGCGCATCACACTCGTCCTTTAGTCAGCAAACGGATATCTCGCTTACGTAAACTGGCAAGAGCCAATCGAGCTTTCTGTATCTGTGCTGAGATTTCGCCAGTCACCAGATAAAGTAAAAAAGAAGAGGTCAAGTAGTTGCACCTTGAGAAACTCAACTTTGTACAGATTCCCACGTTGATAAGGCTCTGTACTAGTTGTCTCCTATCACTAAGGTTACCTAATCAGTTTCTAATTTCTTAAAGGATTCCAAAACTTTCCAATTTTAACTGAAAATCCAGACCTAAGACCTTTTCGAAGGCTTTACTTAGGTATATGAAAACTACATCATCTGGAATTAGATTTGTCAAGCATGGAGAGCCTTTTGTAGAAAATGTGAATTGGCGGGCTATACCCCATAGGACAACACGAGTCATGGTAATACACAATTATAAGGTAAACTGGCAATACAGAGATTCTATTATCAAATCAAGGTCTACATAATCTTAGCATCATTGTATACGTAAACCCACATAGCGTAAAAATTATAATATCCCTGGTTAGTGATATTAATTGAGCCTAGATTCGTACATCGCACAACAGGCCTAAGGACTACTTACCGTATACTATGAAGCAGTAAAATTTCCTTTCGATCCCCATTGCCTTACTAAGTCTTGACTGAATAAGCGAAAGGTGGGTCCTTCAGCTTTAGTAGCAACGGTGAGCGTTCCCTGTGTCGTGTAGTCATTTTACTGAATGAAGGTAGTAGTCACTAAGTGAATTTCAAAATACTAATCGTTTATTTTATCCCAAACTATTATTATTGACTTTCATTTCCTTTAACAGGACTATATACATGCAATACTTCACAGATGAGTACTCTATGTTACCTCACTAGAGTAGAATCATTCTCCGCCTGTCATCGTCTTCATTCACGTGATCTTAGTAATGAAGAAAATGTTAGAACATTTCAAAAGTGTAACAATCCTATGGGACATGGTCATAATTACAAACTAGAAATCACTGTACGAGGACCTATAGATCAGAGAACTGGTATGGTTATGAACATAAGTGACTTGAAATCAATCATTCAAAAACATGTTCTTGACCTATTAGACCATAAAAATATTGATGAAGATGTTGAATACTTTAAAAAGAATAGTATTGTGTCAACTACAGAAAACTTAGCAGTCTTCATATGGACACAGTTGGTTAACGCTATCCCAAATCATTTACTTTACAAAGTTAAAATATGGGAAACTGAAAAGAATATCGTAACTTATAAAGGCGAAAGGAAAATAAATCATGAATAAACTGTATTTCTAAAAAATATTACATTGCTAAATTATTTATGCCCAAATAAAATTCTCAAGTTTATTCTGTATATTTCAATTAACTGTACAAGTTTATTAGTATATACATGGGTATAAATTAAATGCAAACTAGAGATGATATGCTTATACATCCACAGCATTGTAACCATCAAATGCTCTACGACTGACCATTCTCAACATAGCACCAAGTTGACGACCAGGACCAGGTTCAATTGTGCGAGGGAAAGGGACATCTAGTGGACGATCATATAGTGCGTATAACGTTTGTTCCCATTTTACAGGACGGACAATCTGAATAAAGAGCGAAACACGAGGTATTACTTAGTTTTGCCTTTGAAGTAGCACTGTATACATTTGCAAAAAGCAAAATAAGTCATTTAGTAATTTAAAAGTTCCTTATAATGTTCGTAATAAGGTTTCAAATGAAAAATTGTTTTTGATGGTTTAGTTGATGAGCTTCATAGTTAGAAATTTACAATTACTGTATTGTAGTGACTAAAACAGGACGTATATGAGAAGGTTGTGGCTTAATCAAGCAATGTTATACGTTAGGATATTGAACTTTTACATGAATTAAGGCTGAAACAGTTTGCAGAGCTCTGTACAGTAACCAATGTTATGTTTGTCTGTTCCTGATCGACTATAAGGAGCATCAGCTTGCTGAAGGCAAAGTGTCCTGGCGATTCAGAAACTAGTGCGAAATCTACCCTCTGAGCTGTTTGTATATTATATGCGAGTATTTAGAATATTCCATTTGTAAATTTGAAAGACTAAGAAAATGACGGGAAACCTGGTTATAAGGCAGTGAAATAAATTTTATCCTATAGTGAAGATTGGCAAGTCAGTGAACATATCCTTACCAGTTGAAAAAATTAGTAGATGTTACTTTCCCACATCGGGTATACATTTTTAGATGTTATGTAGTGTTACACCACGTGAGTTTAACAAGTCATTTGATAAATTGCAATACGTCCCTATGCACGTTATTATATAAGAGATGAGTAGACTGAAATCTTGACTACAGGTGATCAACTTCTGAAAGCCAGTAAGGTGATTTGCTGATTGTGGAATTGTATTGATAAACAAAACTGACAGTGTAATATCAAGGTTAGACTCAAGAGTACGCTGAACGTTTATTTACAGAAATAGTTAATACTAGGCTTTTATACATTCTGCAATATGTGTATACATTTTGATCATATCATTCCGAACGCGCTTAAGTAGTCGAGTTAATCAGTTATGATATGAAGACTAGCACAAAAGCGTCATCAAAAATCGACACGACGAAATTGAATTTACAGGATTAATAGCAAGAACCGGAATAACAGTGGTATTATTGTTAGTGAAAACGATCAAACATTGGAGTATACGATTTGAAATGGATGGGTTCAAAGAATAGAAGGCATGAAATAATACTGAAAGACTAGACTTAAGGGAAGATAAATAATAAATGTATCTACATCACTGCGATCGGTTCTGAGCCATGCTAAGCAAATGACATCCTTCAATGTAAGACAGATAAACTATATCTTCGAAAAATGAACTTATATTTTACGAGTAAACTTTTAGGGTGGTTCCTAAATCAACCTACACCATTTTTCGTTAGTGCAAAATATCAAATACAAACCAAAATTATAAGTTTATACTGTTATTAGGCTTCATACGGATTTTTAATGCAGAAATAATATACCTGCATAGCAAGTTTCCGCTTAATATTCGTTGTACTTCTATATGGTAGCACGTCTAAAGCACTAATAACAGGTATCGAGGGCTCCTGAAAATCTTCCATCCTGTCTAATGAATTAGCAATTACTTTCCGGGCAGAGGACATTAGAGGAGTATGAAAAGCTCCATTGACTGATAAGCGTTTAGTTCGACGTATTCCAAATTGACTACCATTATCTTCAATAAAGTCAATCGCCTGAAAATATTTTATAGAAAGATTTAAACCGGAGAGAAAATAGGGAATAACCAATATTTTATACAGTATTCGTAGTAAGAATTTAATAGATAATAGCTATTTATTTCCGAGCATATAATATATACAGCTGTAGAAAAAAAGTGAATAATTCCTCTGCGCTCAGAAAACTACATCTTAAAACTATTTATTTGATAGAAGAGATGAGTTTTATCATCTAAGTCGATTGGAAGACCTTTAGGTAGGACAAGTCGAAGGGAGAGATAAAATTCTCAAGATTTGCACTTTAAATGCTTGATATTTTTTTATCCTCTAGGTATTTGAAGCAAGAAAAATCGAACACCAACACTTAATAATCACTCAGATTTCATAGATTAACATAAAAAGGTGACTTTATCAACTGCGTTGAGAAGAATATTAAGTGGGCGCTGTAGTAAATGCTTTGAATAATAAATTTATGAAGTTGTTGAACGAGATAGTATCGTTTTTTGAGTTAGTAATAAACCAGTCAGTGATAAATGAATCGTGATAAAGTTAAATATAAACCACTAGCTGGGAATTAATTGAAATGTATTTTTGCTGAATTTGCGCCGGGAATCGAACCAAACAATAAACACGGAAGTGTAATATAGGCGAGAATGTAAATTATTGAAGACACATTTGTCTTGTTTTTATTTTATTTTACTCATTGTTGACTGTATTGTTTACCGATTAAATTAAAAGATATTTATAAGTAGTCTTCGATTACCTAAAAATATAGTAGACTTTTGTGGTAGATGAAATAGACAGAAAATATGATAAGTAAAGCGTTAGCAGTTGAAAAAAATCACTTCTCAAGTACTCAAAATATTTTACCTCTTTATTTCCAGCGATAACTTTGCAATCTGGATATAAATAATTAGCGATTTTGCAACAAGGGTCTTGGATATTGTGGCGAACCTCACAATGATTGATAGCTGCTGCTATTCCAAGATTTAATGGGGATCCAGGATTAAGGAAAACGGTCATCATTGCTCCAGCTTTCTCATCACAAGCTTTCTGCATGGCTTCTGCTCGGACACGAATGATGTGCAGACCTATTTTCATGAATAACCGGTAGTAATAGGCTTACCTTCTTCAAATGTCAGGGCACCCGAAAACACTAAAGCACTGATCTCGCCAAGACTAAACCCTGCTGTAGCCACGCAATTCCTAATTAACTTAAATCATATAGTGTGGATTATATGAAATAAAAACCTCGTCATTTTCTTCTCGAAGCTTCACAAGGGCTGCTAGGGAAATTATGAAAGTAGCAGGTTGACAATGGATGGTTTTCGATAATTTCGAAGCAGGACCCTCAAGACAAGTACGAAGAATATCGGTTCTTAATATTTCATTAGCACATTGAAACATTTGCTTTATCTTTGGTAATTTTATAAGATCTTTACCCATCCCGACAAAATGAGATCCTTGTCCTGGGAATAAAATTATGGACGTTTTATCTGGATCATTATCAGTTATCCTTAAAAATTTCACAAGTGATATTCAAGATACCCTTTATCATACAAACTCCATTTATAGCGAGTGTTTTTCAAACATTGTAAATCACTGGAAAATCTACGTCGTTTAAACGGATTGAGAGGTAAGGACTGAGCCAATTGTTTAATAATATAAAAGGGAGAATTTTGCATTTCATGGAAATGTTTGGAAATTGGTGGTCCTACAGAAATAAAAACAAAAATCAAAGATTTAAGTTACTTTGGACAGATAAATATAGATTGTAAGCTGTGAATGTCTTGCAGTATAAAACTATCGGAGACAATTCACTTTTCCTCCATAGTTAAGATTTTGTTGAAAAGCTATTATTACAAGGATTTGGATTTCACATTGCAGGCAATGCATTTTGCGATATATAAGTTCTGTTTTTGTTGCAACTGAAAGCCGAAAAACAACCAATTTCATCATAATGGAGACAGACGGTTTGCATAACTTTAGTCGACATTTTCACGCATTACCTTTCCGCGTTAAGTGTTATCTACCTTGTGCTATTCTCCCCTAAATTAGTCACGCAGTTGGTGGAGTGTGATATAGAACCTTCGAAGTTGGAACTCTTGCTTAGGAACAGCATTATAAATTCCAGAAACTACAACGCACGGTCATGAATTTATGGTACACTCTGTAAGTCTTATCAAACTTTATTGAAATTTAAAATAAACAACCGCCTCAATTCTAAGAAAAACTATGACATATGTATGATGTACATAACCATCGAATCTGCTTTGATCGAGAAGTAAATAACCTTAATGAAATTCAGAACGGGCTTCATTTAAAAAGGTTTAAGATAATCTATCCGACCGTAGTTGCTACCTTGACATGGTGGTCGGGGTTGCCTATCGTGATGACCCAACCAAGCTATATTTGCTGGAACTTATGTTCCTAAAGGTTCTGCCATGCCAGGCAGGTCGATTGGAGAACGATGAGACTAAAAGCAGCTACCCAAGGTCTGAGGGCGAAGTCGTACTGCTGGCTGCAGAGGGGTGTGACAGCAGTAAGGTGTTTCCCTCGGACAACCAGCATCTGCAGCGATGCTGCCTTCTCACAAGGAAGGAAGGGTTAGAAAAGGTCGACCCTAAAAATGTCACACCTCCCCTAACTCACGGATTTCCGTCTCCGTCGATAAGGGTGCCCACTAAGGGCTTTCAAGAGTGGAGCTAATACTTAAAAAAACCCTCCATAAAAAGGCCGTGCATGACCGGCCCAAGCAATTGTCCCTTGGGCTCTGCGGTCACACACCGAGGTCTCCGAGAGCAACGCTAATCTATCTTCCTTTTCAGTTTCCTCAAGAAACAACCTTCCAAGGTGTGGGCAGCCGGGAAGTGACAACCGCCCTCATACCCGTAACAGCACACGAGACCGATTTGGTCGAAATCAAATCCTTCCTACACCCACAAATACCCCTCTTATCTCCACGACTAACTCTTCTCACATTCCTTTATCACAGTGCACAGCTAATGCAAACGATGCGAGTTCACGAAACGTCATTTCTGGTCTCCTGAAACCCCGCTCTAGACTACATGTTGGAGCTTTTAATGTACGGACATTGTGTCAAATAGGGCAACAGGCTTCATTAGCTAAGACTTTAGAATCTCGCGCCATCGATGTGTGCTGCGTCTCGGAAACGCGCATACAGGATCCGAGCAGCATCATTCACTTGACCTCACCATGTCAAGATAAATAAGCAACTCGATTTTCCCTTCGTGTATCCGGTAGCCCTGATGCTGCTTCCAGGGGTCTCTCTGGTGTAGGTATAGCATTGAGTCGTAGGGCAGAACTAGCTCTCCTTGACTGGATCCCTGTAGATAGTCGCTTGTGCGCCGTCCGACTAAACGGGACAGTAAGGATTCGAAAGGATAAGGACACCCGTCGTTGCCTCTTCGTCATAACAGTCTACGCCCCCACTGACTGCAGTCCAGAAGATGTAAAAGATGAGTTTTACAGAAAGCTTTCGGACCTCTAAAAAGCTAGGCGCTCTGATATAGTAATAATGGCTGGTGACGTTAACGCTGAAGTAGGTAGAATAAGTGAAAATGAAAGACACCTAGGTGGATGTTATGGTGTCGCGGCTCAGAGAACAGACAAAGGCGACCGTCTGTTGCAACTGTGTTCTATCCCTTCCTTCCTTGTGAGGTGGAAGCATCGCTGCAGATGCTGGTTGTCCGAGGGAAACACCTTACTGCTGTCACACCCCTCTGCAGCCAGCAGTACGACTTCGCCCTCAGACCTTGGGTAGCTGCTTTTAGTCTCATCGTTCTCCAATCGACCTGCCTGGCATGGCAGAACCTTTAGGAACATAAGTTCCAGCAAATATAGCTTGGTTGGGTCATCACGATAGGCAACCCCGACCACCATGTCAAGGTAGCAGCTTCGGTCGGGACAAAAAGCCTACGCAATGATCGAGAACAGTGGTGGGTAACGGAAGCAAGAGAGATGGAAAATGCAGCGACTATAGGCAACAACAGACATTTGTACCGACTTATCAAGGAAACTGGTATTAGTAACTGGTATCAGTAACCCGAATGTGAGTGAAACTATCTCGGAAAAGGATGGTTGTATCATTCATTCTCAATCCAGGAGATTGAATCAATGGGCAGAACACTTCAGGGACCAGTTCAATTGGCCATCAGCGACACTTCAGTTGCCCACGTTTTCCAGTCATCCTGAAAGGCAAATCGGCATTGTTCCCCTTAGTCTTTATAAATTTGAGAAAGCCATAGGAAATCTGAAGCGAGGGCGAGCTGCAAGTCCTGATAGGCTAACTCCTGAGATGTTCAAGTATGGTAGTTCAGTTCCAGCAGCTAGGTTGACTGAGATCTTAGGTAAAATCTGAGAACTGGACATAATCCCATCTGACTGGTCTCAATCACTGATTGTTCCAATCTATAAGAAAGGACAGAGGTCTTCTTGTGACAATCACACGGGAATAAGTCTAACTAATATAGTATCTAAAATATTGGCCTCGATAATACCTCGGCGCTTAACGAAAGCTTGTGAAGAGCAGACTCGAGAAAACCAGGTTGGTTTTCGACCTGGACGTGGTGGCATAGATCACATCTTCACATTACGACAGGTCCTGGAACACAGACACACATTTAGACGTCCGACAATAGTCGTGTTCCTGGACCTTAAGGCGGCATTTGACTCTGTGGATCGTGAGGTTCTGTGGCAGTGTCTGTCATTGAAAGGTGTACCAAAGAAGTACATTAACCTTATACAAGCTCTCTACTCGAACACCACTGGTCGAGTGAGAGCTTATGGCGAACTGTCACCGGAATTCTTTACTTCAAATGGTGTCCGTCAGGGATGTCCACTCTATCCACTTTTGTTTAATTTTATCATAGACATGCTCCTAGAAATAACCTTATCCTCGTATGAATTTTCAGGAGTAGACCTACCAGGTGGCTCGCTTATTGACTTAGAATACGCCGATGACATAGTCCTACTTAGTGAAGACGCTGACAAAATGCAGTCTTCTAACCACCCTAAGCAACAATGCAAGCATGTTCGGAATGCGGTTCTCACCCTCGAAATGCAAAATTTTGCTTCAAGATTGGGTTGCATCGGCACCTGAACTAGTGATAGGGAGTGAAGTAGTCGAGCGTGTAGACCGCTTCACTTATCTTGGAAGTCTTATCAGTGCCTATGGCCTGGTGACTGACGAAATCTCAGCTCGGATACAGAAGGCTCGATTGGCTTTTGCCAACCTGCGTCACTTATGGCGCACGCGAGATTTCCGTTTGCTGACTAAAGGACGTGTGTACTGCGCAGTGGTTCGCTACGTATTACTTTATGGCTGTGAAACATGGCCAGTGAGAGTAGAAGATATTCGTAGGTTACTGGTTTTCGATCATAGGTGTCTTCGAAGCATTTCCCGTATATCCTGGTACACCCGAGTGAGCAACGCTGTTATTAGGAAACGGGTACTAGGTAAGAATGGCAGATCAATCGATGAAGTGGTGAAACTTCATCAGTTGAGGTGGTTGGGACATGTGTTGCGTATGCCCAACTACCGACTGCCTCGACGAACTTTGTTTTGTAGTGTAGGAGTAGGTTGGAAGAAATTTAGGGGCGGCCAGACCAAAACATGGCAGAAATCCATGAAGTCATTGACTAGTGGACTGAGCCATGTCGGTAATTGTCGACTACCTGGTTGGGGTCCGCGAGATGATAATAATCGATGGTTAGAGACCTTGAATGACATGGCTCAAAATCGTTCGCAATGGCGCCGGTGCATTTATTCTTTGTGTTCTCTCAAACCCTAATCTTCTGGATTCTTCAACACCTCTAGTTTCGACTCTCTAAACTTTTCTCACTGTATCATACTTCTTGAATAGTATCTTCTAACCCTAACCTCTCCGATTACTTCTAATTCCCTTACTACCTCTACTACTATTGGATTCGAATTGACAATTACATCTCTGTGCTGGTGTGGTATTGCAGCATGAACTGATGTACTTACGTACGAAGTTCTGCGTTGCATCTGACTGACTGAAGATAATCTATAGTAAGAGTCAATCAACTATAAGTCAGGTAGGAAAAACATATCACACGAAGACATCAAGATGAATAAAATGGTAGTTGTATCAATGACAGAAAAACTTTCAAGTGCATAGTATGGTTTGAGGGGTGAATATACGGAATAAACCATGAATTTCAGAGCTTGGAATGTTTGAAAAACGGGGAATAGGTGCATCGAAACTAGCGTGACTGATTTTGCGCCATATCACCTTGTCTTTAAAAAGATGGTTACGACCATCGCTAGGAACCAAACCACACAGTCCACATTTATCAGCACAGCTCATATGAATACTGTGACCCCGTTTACTGGCTTTATGCTTTAGTTCAGGTATTCATCCAGCCAACAACTGTAATAGCTAAGACCGCACTTTAAAGTGAGTAGTCATTGGTAGTAGGACTAATAATAACTCACACCATTTGTACTATCACCATATCATTACGGACTGGTTACAAAAAGTCATTAGTTTGCACTTTACTCAAACCGAAGACATCACAGTGGAAAGAACGTAGTTGTGAGTTACATTTCAGTGATGGTTTAGGACTAGGTAACAGAGAATCCCAACTAAAATTCAATGGTAATTAAATAGCTCGGATCGCCCGGTACTGGAGGGTGTTTTTGATTCAATAGGAGCCCCGAAAGAAAAACCATTTCGGGGGGACGCATCGGCACATCGCCATAAGTGACCGCAGAATTCGACAAGCGATAATACTACTCTCAATCGGAACTTACTACGTTGGCAACTTCGTTACAGCTATGTGGCTTCTAATACCGGTACCAGTTATGTTTTAATCCGCAACGTTGGACAATACAAAAGAGATTAATGAAAATACAAATAATTAATTTCAAAGCTGGCCTGATTATATTGAGACAGTGTTTAATATATGTATAGGTAAAATATGAGGTCTAAATATAGCATTGTTCATTTCCAAACTCGAGACATTTATCGCATAACAATGAGGTGTTAGGATTTCCGTAGTGAGGTTAAATGGCTTTTCCCTAAATTACTGGGGACTTTGGATGAATTTTGGGGAAATTCTAAGTTTTCCCAAAAAAATTGAAGCTTTCGGTTATATCTCCCAAAAGTTTACTACGGGAGCTACGCCGAAATTGGGAGATCGAGATAGTTGTACAACCAAATATGTTTCACTACAAACTCCACAAATAGTAACTGATATTTACTGACACGCCCAGCAAGGAGTGGTTTTTTTAAATCGTCAAAGTGATTACAACGTACAATAACATAACGTCCAACATACAGAAACTTCCTGCACTGGTGCACGCACAACAGGGCAACGCACAATTTCGTAGACAGCAACTTTCAATATCCAACAAATTTGCTTCCAAGTTTTGTTCGATAGGTGTAGGTTAAAAATAAGTTTCAATTAATCAGCTTAGTTCAAAGTAACTGTTCAGGATCTTCGTGAATTTGATAAGACGGAGCTAGCTATTTGGGTATATTGTATGACGTACTTCCAGTACCAAGTAAATTTAGTAGTATTGTTACCACAGTATAACACCATATCTTCCTTTTGTTGTGTGGAGTTCTAAATGTTTGAATATCTATTATCAATGTCTATCGTTTTCTAAATATGAGTTGCTTGTTGGATAATTGACACTTTGGCACACATTTGATTCTCCAGACATCGGTCCTTTTTTCAACTTGTTCGTCATGACCGTTGATTGAAAAGCATAAGGTGTTTGGCTTAATTTCAAATCTTTTCCAGTTATATGTCACTACCTTTACAAAACGCTAAATGATTTATCCTTCTCTCTACACCATCGGATTCACACATGCCGGAGAGGTAATTTATGAGTCAGGATAGAAGTCGTTATGTAAAGTCCATTTTCGCAATTAGAAGTACGTGGGGTATTTTGTCGAAAGCTTTTGTAAAGTCATGAAGTATTTAATAAACGGGTTTTTTCGATCCCAGTTGGTTACCACAACCTGTCGACTTTCCAACCGCATTGATTTTATTTTTCTTAGTACTAACTCAACTTCATCTGAAGCCCTTTTGCGGCTACTACCGGTCCCATGCCCGGATAAAGGAGGAGATTTGAGCTTGGGGTTGGTGATCCCATCCCATAAAAAACAATATCGCTAAAAAAACACAATCGCTAAAGTACACTAATAAAAATAATGTGTGATAAAAATAACTCAAGCCAATTTAACTCGGTCCTGCGGGTTGGAAGGTCTTCTTTCAGAAGAGTTATGACATCTCATAATGAAAGCCGAGCTCCTTCGAAAGTCACGAAGTCGATGCTCCTTCTGATAACTAGGGCAACCATTTTTTCCCTACACAAGTACGTACACAAAGCTATTTTGATTTCAACGGATCACGCTACTCAGAACCAATACGACCATATATGTATCAAATAAAAAGTTCAGAAAGACCATGGAGGACGTGAGAAGCAAGAGAGGAACTGATGCAGCCTCAGGTCACCACTTTCCGGTCGCCAAACTGAAACTGAAACTGAAACTTAAGAAACCCTAGACAGTGGTGAGGACTACATCTCAAACTTTTAATACGGCCTTTCTTCAGGATACTGGAAAGCTCAACCAATTCGAGATAGCCCTCAGCAATAGGTTACAGGCTTTTCACGATCTCAATGGAAAGAAGACTGACATGTTACGGTACTTTAGTAGATACTTCTCGTAACGAAGCTTGTAAGTAGTATGCAGCAGTGTCACCCAGAATTTACTTCTCGTGAGAAGAGTGTTCCACCAGAAGGTAAGAAACAATCAGTGTTTTGAAGAGCAGAAGGCATGTGAAAGAAGACAGCCAATAAATCTCCTGTTTTGCAACCGGAAGTCTAAAGATAAGGTATAAGCGGTTTTCGAGTAAACTTTATCCTCTAGAAAAGTACTGTTATTCCATCTGGTCTTCATGTCATCACTGATTACGGTACCATAGCAGTTTGTACTTTTAAGCTGACACAGTAGGATAACTAATAGCATCACTTGTAAGAAGAATAGAAATAAACCCAAGATATTTATTAAACACACTCCAGTATTCGGAAATGTATTAGCATTTAAAGGGAAGAGGGGATATTGAACCAATATGGAAGAATTGTAACAGGTATAGATAAAGTGGGTAAATTTTTTTGAAGCCATAACCAAACAATACAAACTCGTAAAATACACACGTTCCTTTGGATTTCATGTGTGTATTATTGTTAAATTACGAAACTTTTGAAGTTTAAATTTATAGAATCCCGATAACTGACTCCGTAGTTCACTCTTAAAAGAAATTGATCCAGATGTGACAAATGCTGGGCAATCAATAGCATTCGGAAACTAAATATGCCACACAAAAATAGCTATGCTCTGATAGGAGAATTGTAGAAACAGAACTCAAAACAAAAAAGACTAATTAAATTACAAAACGTTAATAACTTTTATGTAAGAAATGTAGCTTGAAAGCTCCTTCTAGAAGCACCAGAAATAGAGTTAGCTCAGCAAAAAAATATTCTATATGGTAAGCACCAACAACATAAGAGGAAAATATGAATCCTATTGTGTTAATTAATAAAGTTCCAAGCCATTATATGGTTAGAATTACATTTTATTGTTAGCTGTTTTTAGCGACAAACCCTAATCCCAACCCTTCTCCTTTATCTGTGATTTGTGTTTCAGGCAGCTCTGATGCTGCTTACCGTCGCCTCGCCAGCGTAGGTATAGTATTATGTCCAAGGGCAGAACTAGCTCTCTTAGACTGAATCCCGATAGACAGTCGCCTATGCGCTGTCCGACTAAACGGGACGGTACGGACTCAGAAGGATAAGGAACTCGCCGTCGCCTCTTCGTCGTATCTGCCTACGCTCCCAATAACAGCGGTTCAAACGACATGAAAGATAGGTTTTATAGAAACCTCTCTAAACTTTTTCAAAATGTTAAGCGCTCTGATATAGTAATAATGGCTGGTGACTTTAAGGCAGAAAAAGGTAGACTCAGTGAGCGGGAAAGATACCTGGGTGGATATTATGGTGTCGCGGCTCAGAGAACAGACAATGGCGACTGTCTGTTGCAACTGTGCTCAGATAACCGCCTATTTCTAGCAAACACTAACTTTAGTCATAGGGAAAAACGTCTTTTGACCTGGCGACCCCCAAAGCCGACCCAACAATGAGGCCAACTAGATCACATAGCTATGAGCCATCGTTGGAGAGGCTTTATGGAGACTGCCGCTCATTCTGGAGCACTTGTTTAGACTCAGACCATGCTCTAGTGCAAGCGAGTATTTGTTTGCGCCTTACTGGACGCAAGAAAAATATGGCAAGGAAACAGTAGCATCAGTAGCATCCACCGAACTGATAGAGGCTCGAAAACACATCCTGCCTGGCTCTGAGTGCGATGAGGAGCGGAGTCAGCTTAAAAGTAGGCTGACAATATCCTACTCAATGTTCGAGAACAGTGGTGGGTAACGGAAGCAAGAGAGATGGTAAAGGCAACGGCGGTATGCAACTATTCAGGCTTATCAGGGAAACCGGTATCAGTAACCCAAATGTGAGTGAAACTATCTCGGAAAAGGATGGTTGTATCATTCATTCTCAATCCAGGAGATTGAATCAATGAGCAGAACACTTCAGGGACCAGTTCAACTGGCCATCAGCCACACTTCAGTTGCCCACGTTTTCCAGTCATCCTGAAAGGCAAGTCGACATTGTTCTCCCTAGTCTTTATAAATTTTAGAAAGCCATAGGAAATCTGAAGCGAGGGCGAGCTGCAAGTCCTGATAGGCTAACCCCTGAGATGTTCAAGTATGGTAGTTCAGTTCCAGCAGCTAGGTTGACTGAGATCTTAGGTAAAATCTGAGAACTGGACATAATCCCATCTGACTGGTCTCAATCACCGAATGTCCCAATTTATAAGAAAGAACACAAGTATTCTAGTGACAATCACAGAGGAACAATAATGATGATAATAATAATTTATTCTCAAATAACAACATGTTACAAGAGGCATTCTAATTGACAGTCTAACTGATATACTTTCTAAACTGTTAGCCTCGATTATACTCAGAAGCCTAGCTATTAACCTATACAGGCTGTACTCGAACACCACTGGTCAAGTAAGAGCTCATTGCGGACTATCATTGGAATTCTTTACTTCAAGTTGTGTCCGTCATGGATGTATACTCTCTCTATTCTTGTTTAACTTAGACACTGACATGCTTTTAGATAAGACACTTTCATCATGTGAATTTTCAGAAATGGACTTTCTACTAGGAAATGTACTTGTTGACTTAGAATATGCCGATGAAATAGTTCTACGTGGTGAAGATGCTGTCTAATTGCAAAGTCTTCTGATTACCCTAAGCAACAATACACGCATGTTCGGGATGCGTTTCCCTTCCTCGAAATGCAAAATGCTGCTTCAAATTGGGTTGTATCGACACCTGCACTGGAGATGGCAAGTAAAGTAGTTCGGCGTGTTGATTGCTTTGCTTATCTCGGGGGTCTCATCAGTGCTGATGGCCTGTTGACTGACGAAATCTCAACATAGATACAGAACGTCCGATTGGCATTTTTTCAACGTGCGTCACTTATGACGTAGGCGAGATATCCCTTTGCTGAATAAAGGATGAGTGTACCGTGCAGCAGTTTGCTCCGTCCTACTGTATGGATGCGAAACATGACCGGTAAGGGTAGAAGACATTAGTAGGTTATTAGTATTCTATTATATATGTCTTCGGAGCATTACTCGTGTATCCTAGGACAACCGAGTAGGCAATGCTACAATTAGGAAACGAGTATTAGGCAAGGATGTTAGATCAATAGATGAAGTAGTAAATATCCATCATTTGAGGTGTTCGAGACATGCTCAACCACCGACTGCCTCGACAAGAGATGTTTTGTAGTGTTGTAGTAGGTCGGAAGAAAGCTAGGGCGGCCAAACCAAAACACAACAGAAATCCATGAATTCACTGACAAGTGGACCGAGTCATGACGGTAAGTGGTTGGGGCCCGCGAGACGATAATTAGAGACCCTGAATGACATGGCTCAAAACCGTTTGCAATGGCTCAGGTGCATTCATTGATTGTATTCTCTTGTTGAAACGTGAAGGTTACACGCCCACACAGAATCCAGGACAGAAGATTGTATATAGGATATCGACGTTTATTAATAGAAAGTCGAGTGATATTAGAATAATATCACGTGTTCAGCTTGTACAATCGATGATTACACGAAACGATCGTTAGATCCGCAGGGGTGGCGTGGGTGGCGCTCGAAAAGTGACTTTTAGTACAAATAAACAAATGGTATACAATAAAACAGTTAATGTTACATATGTTCCATAATAAGTATTTG